GTGTGGAAGCTTCGACACACGCACAACCAAACAGGGTAGGCATGGCGTCAACACCGGAAAATCGAAGCGAGAGGCCAACAGATGCAAAACGGAGCCGAGATGAGGGCAGAGCTAGTGGACAAAGTAGTTCGAGTGCGCTTAATGAGTCCAGAAATCTTAAGAAAATTTACCTAGGTAAGTGGCATGTCAAGTTTGACGAATCTGCCAAGGGAATTACAGTCGAAAGTTTAATTTTTCGAATCGAAAAGTTGCGTGAACAATACGGTAATAGCTGAATCAGACTATGAGATAATTAGGGAAATCATGGAAAGGAAGCAACAGGTTCAGGAGTCTTTCGAGGATTTCTACGGAGACGTTCACAGTCTGACATTCCGCCTTAGAAAAAAAATACCAGAGAAGGGGTTGGTAGGCATTATTAGGGGAAACCTTAAGCCATACCTCGCGAATCTAACTTTCGCCTCAAAAATGGAGACGCTAGCGGATCTCAAAAGCGAGTGTAAGAGGGCTGAAAAGGTGATGCGCGATAACAGGAATAGACCAAAACAGGTTAATGAGATAGATTTTACGGAGCCGCCAAGTTTAGAGAAGACAGAAGATAGGAGAGTAGAAGAAATAGGTAGAATGCAACGTAAAAAGCCACAGCAGTATGTGAGTGTTCAACCTAATGTGTCTCCGTCTAGTCGTCCTAATGTGTATTCGTCCTCCGTAGGTTCATTTTGTCCGTCCCCTTTCCACATCATGTTATGTTTTACCTGTGGTATGCCCGTTGACAATTTTTCCAAAAATCCCACCGAAGCCCAAAAAGATAGTAAGTGTAATTCGTCCTTTCATAATATGATTTGTTTTTCTTGTGGAGGTGATACGTCTTTTTGTGTGTTTAAACCAGTGCAGGGAAACTTAAAACTGGCCGAGATAACCGGGGACTCACGCCAGATGGAGGAGAACCCGGAGAACAAGTAATCAGGGTTCTTAGCAGAAACACAGTTACCAGTGAAAATAATAATGAAGAACAGGAAACCATCGTGGAAGATAGGAACGTTATTAGGAAAAGTCTACACCAAAGGAAGACCGAATACGAAGAGGCACGCAGGCGGATTTTTTGCGAGGAGATTATAGGCAAGAAGAGAAATAGGAACTTTGCTAAAATACAGAAGATGAGGGCTAAGAAAAAGAATCTAAGGAGGATACATAATAAGATTATTTCCACTATTGTTACCATAAAGGGGGACAACAGATTCTTTGCGAAGACTAGAATAGGAGGGCATGAAGTTTTAGCGCTTTTGGACTCAGGAGCCGGGGCGAGTTGCTTAGGGAAAAACACAAGTGTTCTACTCGAAGGCAAGGAAGATAAAATAATGGCTATCAAGGGCCAACATATTAGAACAGCAAACGGTGGTGAAACCGCAGTGACAGGTATGATAACGCTTTCCGTGGAATGGGATAATGTGTCGAAAAAGATGGAATTTTTTATTGTACCCGGCCTGCAACAAGAAGTATATTTGGGTGTCGATTTTTGGCAAGTTTTTGTTATGAATGTGGTTAGCAGAGGAATGAATGTTTGTTCTGGCAGCACTGTCGTTGCAGATTTAGTGCCCGCCGAGGGTGACTTATCGTTTGACGCGGTGCAACACACACTTACCCCGGAGCAAAGTCTTGCTTTAGACAAAGTAAAAATGCAATTTCCTTCGTTCGCAGTCCTAGGGCTAGGGAAGACTGACGTTGAGGCGCATGTCATTGAAGTGACCAACGAAAACTTACCAGTGAAGCAAAGATTTTACCCTATATCGCCCGCAATCCAAAAGCTTGTTTACAGCGAACTAGACCGAATGTTGGAGATGGGAGTAATCGAGGAGAGCCACAGTAGCTGGAGCTCACCTGTATCGTTGGTCATCAAAGGGACGAAAAACCGCTTATGTCTTGACGCGAGAAAAGTGAACGAACGTACAGTGAAGGACGCGTACCCTCTGCCACACATTGACGGGATCTTGAGCAGACTACAAAATACGCGATTTATATCGGCGATAGACCTCAAAGACGCCTTCTGGCAAATTCCGCTTGAAAAGAAGTCCAGAGAAAAGACGGCGTTCACTGTACCAGGTAGACCTCTGTACCATTTTACGGTGATGCCATTCGGTTTGTGCAACGCAGCACAACGAATGTGCAGGCTAATGGACAAGGTCATCCCCGCTTCTCTTCGTGACTCTGTGTTTGTTTACTTAGACGACTTACTTGTTTGTTCTGTTGATTTTTCGTCACATTTGTGTTTGCTCGAAAGGGTCGCTAAATGTCTGCGTGAGGCCAAACTAACTATATATGTGGAAAAGAGTAAATTTGTTTTAAAGAAGTTAGGTACCTAGGCTATGTGGTAGGAGATGGATGCATACGCACAGATACCAAAAAGATTGAAGCAGTGAGGGATTTCCCAGAGCCAAAGACCCCCAAACAGCTCAGAAGGTTCCTAGGGATGTCAGGGTGGTACCGGAGGTTCATACGAGATTACGCCACAATTTCAGCTCCGCTGAACGACTGTCTCACGAAGGAAAAGATTAAGAAGTTTACAATGACAGACGACGCAAAGACGGCTTTTGAGCGCTTAAAGCAGTGTTGACCCAACCGGACTTTAACAAACGTTTTTACATTCAATGCGACGCATCGACTGACGGAGTGGGGGGTGTGCTTTTCCAACCAGACGAGGACGGTAACGAACGACCGATTGCGTATATCTCCGCAAAGTTAAACAAAGCTCAGCGCAATTACAGCATTACGGAATTAGAATGCTACGCGGCAGTTTTGAGCATAAAACGATTCAGGCCTTATGTGGAGGGCTTGCCCTTCACAGTGATCACTGATCACGCAAGCTTAAAATGGCGAATGCATCAAAAGGACCTCTCAGGGCGACTAGCGAGATGGAGCCTTAAACTGCAGGCGTTTGATTTTGATATTCAGCATCGCAAAGGGACGCAAAACATAGTTCCTGATGCGCTGTCTAGAGTAGGCATGGATGAAATGACGATAAATGACAGAATAATGGATATTTGCTTAAACTCGCCATTTTTCAAAACGCAAGAATATGAAGAATTGAAGAAAACCATACCTGACAACAGCGGTAAATTGCCTGAACTTTGTATATCGGATGGATTCGTTTATAAGAGGACACAGTTCAGTCGGGGGGACAGGCTTCAAGAGGACCACGCCTGGAAACTCTGGGTGCCAACTGAGCTGCGGCAGGGTCTGGTTGAATCCTCACATAACTAGCCTTCCGCAGGGCATGGCGGAATTCATAAAACGTTAGGCAGAATAAGGGAAAAATATTATTGGCCCGGTATGGTTGCTGAGGTTCAAAAATATATAGTAAGCTGTGATATTTGTAAGGGCAACAAAACTCAGAACTCTTTTCATAAGCCTCCGATGGGCAGGCAACACGTGACAGAGCGGCCTTTTCAGCGATTGTTCATTGATTTTATGGGTCCTTATCCTCGTACGTCCAATGGTAATGTGTATGTGTTTGTATGTCTCGACCGCTTCTCCAAATTCGTGTTCCTTAAACCTATGAGAAAGGGTTCGTCAGCAGAAGTTGTTAAATTCCTTGATAAAGAAGTTTTCCATGTATTCGGGGTACCCGAATACATTCATTCCGACAACGGAAAGCGATTCGTATCAGAGACCTTCAAACCCTTTGCTGAAAGATATGGTACAAAACATGTAAAAACTGCGCTTTATTCGCCACAGGCGAATGCTGCCGAAAGGGTAAATCGGTCTGTCCTTCAGATCATTAGATCGTATATAAAGGACAATCAGAAAAATTGGGACAACCATGTTAGTGACGCAGCTTTCGCCCTTCG